TATTCCCTTTTTCTCGACTCCACCCCCGCCCGGTTGCTCTATTTTCTCGTTCCTCCGTGGTTTTCCCTTCTCACGGAATCAGCCATTCTCCGTCCGCGCCCCGAGAGCTGTCTGCAGGTCCGCGCCGCCGATTTCCCCCTTGCTTCTCGAGCGTTCCCCTTTTTCAACGGTGGATCGTGCCGTAGACAAAGATCGTTCGGCGGAGAAAGGAACGCCGCGCGAACAGCGGGGGTGGCTGGGAAAAAGCTATCCCCCCGTTGCTTCTTTCGCTAATTCCCTTCTTACGGATCGGTTTTTCCTCGCGCGAGAACGCGCGCCGCGTTTTGCGCTCTCCGCGCTGGTTTCGAGGGTTTCCAGTGGTTAGAAGGAGTTGGAACGATTTTCACTGGACGTCGCGACTGTTGGGCGATCGCTTTTGGGAATCGACGGTTTTCTTGGGGGATTTTGGGAATTGGTTTTCATGGAGGATTTTGGGAATTGACGGTTTTCATTGAGGATTTTGGGAATTGGTTTTCATGGAGGATTTTGGGAATTGACGGTTTTCATGGAGGATTTTGGGAATTGACGGTTTTCGTAGAGGATTTTGGGAATTGACAATTTTCATGGAGGATTCTCGGAATTGACGGTTTTCATGGAGGATTTCGGTTGTACATGGATATTGAAATGATAAGAGGCTCGTTGCTAATTGTTTTTATAAATAAACATGAATGTTTTTTTGATTGTTTCATCCGATTCCGATGAAAGTTTGAGTTGTGCGCACGCGCGCGAAGGTTTATGAATTAACCCTTAGCAGTCCTATGTCGATTCAACATTCTATTTTATTGCAACCTCTACCTATTTTAATAACTCTGTTGAAGTTGGTAGTTGATCATTGAGGATATAATAATCAATTATATAATTTCAAAAATCAAAGTAGAATACGGGCCTAATTTTAATTCTACCTTAACTGGAACAGTGTTTGAACTATGATTACAGGAATATAATTTATATGGAGGTACAAGGATTACGTATTGTGTTCATTAATGATATTGATCACCGTCGACCGAAGTCAGGTGATTGGTAAATATCCAGGGTTCGAAAGTCGGCGGTGTTACAATCAGCAACGAAGGGTTTCCCATACTAATCCGCGGATAGGAAGGAAGTTAAATCGCCATAAAGTACTAAGACATTCCACGTCGTCTGCGAGCAGGCAAACGTGATCCTCTCGAAGGATTAGGCTAGCGGATGATACGGCGTTTGCGTCCCGGTGGGGTCTTACGCGGAGCGAGGTTTACGTTCTCGTGAAAAGCCTTTTGACTCTTTTCCGTAGATGATCCTCACGAGTCGATGTAATCGGAGGGAACACTTGCCACGAATTAACCGAAATTGCGTGAGTTTCAACTAGGACGTTAACCCCTTTCGGTTCATCCTTTCTCTTGTAGGATTGTGTCATAGTCATGGCGAAGGGTTCAAAAGAAATTTAAGGTAAATGTTAATTCGATTAATTTGTGGTTGAATTAAATTTGGTTTTCTATTCTGTCATATTATAATTATGATTTTTTCTTCTGTTATAATATAATTAAATATTAATTCTTCCGTCACATTATAATTATTAAATATTCCTTCTTCAGTTATCAGTTATTACACTTCAGAGCAAACACAGATACTCTCCTGTCATCAAATAAATTATTAATGACAAGGTAATCACATTGATTATAATTGAACAAGAAATCATAGGGTAAAGGGTTAATTCGTTCTACTTCCCCCGCGCACCTCCAGCGAAACGATCAATCTCCTTTTGCTACGTGACCGTTCGACGACGTACCTGATACATTCATTCGTGTACTGAAATGTTCATTTATCGATGAGGATCAAGTGGGAAATGAATTTATTGCGTTGAACGTATAGGACACGTGTAGTTTCTAGAATCCTTTAGGATAAATTCTCTGATTATTAGATTGCGGATTTTTCTACACTTATGGGAAATTTAGAAGAACGTAGAATGCATATGATAAAAAACATGTAATATTGAGAGCTTCATCAAAATGGAAATTAATCATTTCTATTGAAGTATATCTTAATGGTTGAGAGATTCGAAGGATTTTCGGAGGAATACGAGGAACGTGTTGGCAATAGCATATCGTACCAGATACCTGCATGTTCCATTTCCTTAATGTTTATCGATAAGCAAGAGGAAAAGCTGTTCGAACGAGGAAATTATCAGCTCGAAACTTATCGGACTTCGTTTCCATTAGATGATTGCGTAGAAATATTTCTAAGATGGATGAGTTGGCAAGGTTGTTCGCTAGATAATGCTCTCTCGCCTGAATAATTATTACATTATATTGTTATAATAATCATCCAAACTCTGCACCACAAATCTTCATACAAATGTCCATTTTCAAAGGATCAAAAATTACATGCTTATCGAAAACATTCAAAATTTCAAGTTTAACACTGGAACTACCAGACGAATAAAAATGATCGATTTCAAGATTCTTATTTCGTTATTATATAGACGATAAAAATGCTTTCGTGAAAAATAAGAAAATAAATTCTGCATTTGTGCAAGTGCAGCAATAAGCCCTTCAAATCTCAAGGAAACTGCTTTCCTAATTTCTATATACAATTATATACTAATTATATTATATTAATAATATATAAAATAAATAATATATACTAATTATATTATATTAATAATATATAAAATAAATAATATATAAAAATTATATATTATTGTAGTTAAAATACCTGCAACGATTATACTTCGAAGAAATAATCGAAATAACACCAAAATCTCTTATTCAATTCATTATATCACACAAGATTACATTTTCAAATAATTTCCATAACGATTCATCCGTTCGTCAGCGTCCACGAACTCCGAAAACTTTCATCGGTCGACCCGATCGGAGAAATACAGAATTAATTTCGTGCTCGCGTTCTCGTCGACCATTCAGAAGGGTTCTCTACGGCGGTCGCGCGTGTCCCGTGTTCCTCAATGGCGCACAGTGCGCAGCTTATGAACAGAACTGAGAAATTCGACTATTCATGTAACCAGAATTCTCCATTATCAACGAGAAACCTTCATAATACCCCATAATGTAAGTAGAAACACAATCATCATATATTTAGATCTATACCCTGCAACTTTTGTCCGAAGCATTCGTTTCTATCACTCATGCTTATTGAGGGATCGAGTTTTGTCCAGAAAACGGCTGCACAGTGTATCGGCGAGTATTCCAGGAGGTCGGATTTGGAAATTGACGAGCCGCACCTTCACTTTTGTTTAATATAATCTAGAGGTTTGACAGGGTCTGACGGTGAATTGCCTCCGGCGACGTCGAGTCGGCGGAGAAGGTCCGACGGTCACGGCGGTGAGGGAGAGACGCGAGGGAAAAGTTAGGAACGGCGCACAATGAGTTCCGGAGAACCTTCGAGGG